TTTGTTTTTCATAGCTCTCTGTCAGAGAAAATGAAGCCTGGGGAAGGGCGCGCACCCTCCCCACATCCCGTTTTTTAAAACAGAGCGTTTCGCTGACGGAGGACCTTTGCTGTTTCCAGGCTGAGCCACTCCCCCCCCCCCCGGGGCCAGATCTAAGCACCCCATGGATTAGATCCAGCCCACGGACCTTGAGTTTGACACCTCTGGTATACACATTAAAGCAGATTCTAACTTTGCAACTTTCTAACTTTAATGTTGCACTCCCCAACACCTGGGACAGAAATTCCCAAAATTCTCATTTTAACTCCTAAACAGCCTTCACCAACTCTAGTCTTAGGGCTTAAGACCAAAAAACTTCATGTTGACCATACCTGAGCCGTGTCAATTAGTTTGTTCCTTACCTCTTTCTTGCAGAGATTGCCCAGGTAAAACTGCACCTGGCTGTTATCAAAACCTTTGCGAATGTCAAACACGTTGACCGAGTAGCCTTTTTCCACCAGCTGCTCTACCAGATGTTGACCGAGAAATCCCGAGCCGCCAATCACAGTGCATTTTTTACTAGCCTGCAGGAAACAGATATAAACGGATCACCATCAGGGTTTTTCCAAACACGTTGGGATTGGTTTTTATGAGCACAGAAAGCAACAAGCAAGAACTCATGCAAATAACAACTACTACAGGACAAAAAAAAACAAAAACCCCTCAGGGCAATGTTATATATAACTTTCTTTAAACTGTCCTTAAGAGCTGGATTATAGGGATAAAAACACCTATGCCAAAACAAGAACGTGTTTGGGAGCAATGCAATTTCTTCCTCAGAGAGCAAACTTGAGAAGCAAAGAGTTATTGCAGGGATATCTTAGATTATAGCCTTTCAAATAGCAATAGCAGTTAAACTTATATAACGCTTCATAGGGCTTTCAGCCCTCTCTAAGCGGTTTACAGAGTCAGCATATTGCCCCCAACAACAATCCGGGTCCTCATTTTACCCACCTCGGAAGGATGGAAGGCTGAGTCAACCCTGAGCCGGTGAGATCTGAACAGCCGAACTGCAGAACTGCAATCAGCTGAAGTAGCCTGCAGTGCTGCATTTAACCACTGCGCCACCTTGGCTCTTAATAAAGCCCAGAAATCATAACCAAGGATTTAGATCAAGGAGGGACTAGCTTAGTGCCCTTCAGCAGTGGTCACCAACCAGGGCTCCGCAGGAAAATTTTGGTGGTCCGCAGAAAAATTATTTGCATTGTTTATATGCACTAAATACTATTTATCTTTTTAAAAAATTCATAGCAATGGTCCGTAGGATTTAAACTTATGTATTTAGTGGTCCCTGAGGTCCGAAAGGTTGGTGACCCCTGCTCTGCAGGATTTTTTCTCAGTTAACTAGTCAAAACAAAATCTGCCTGGCTCAAGAAATCAAACTACCTGGGCTGCAAAATTATCTAATTCACAGATTCACAGTTTAGACTATTCCAAGTAGAATTGTCACTAAAGCAACATACTGAATCAGGATCTCCTGCACTCTTATTTTAAACCAAAGGGGTGGATCTCAAGATCCTAGCCCAAACAGAGCAGGTTCCAGCAGAGTGAAGTCCCACCTGGGAGCCAGGTGAGAAAACAATCTGGCATTCCACCAAGAAAACCACGAGTATCTTTACTCCAATCTTCAATTATACTTCCTGCATGGAAATAGTAATAGCGCTTAAACTTATATACTGCTTCACAATGCTTTTACAGTCGCCTCTAAGCGGTTTACAGAGTCAGCCTCTTGCCCCCTCCCCAACCAGTGGTGGGTTCTGGGCGCTAGGCCCCAGTACAGGCATACCGTTGGCAGCTGGGAGCAGCGGCCACCATACCAGAATGGTGTTTTGGAGGGCCCACCTGCCCGCCCGCGATCCTTACCTATACAGCACCTGCGCAACCTCCGCGGAGCAGCTGGAGCATTGCAGGGCAGTGGGTGCACATGCATGCGCAGCGCACATGCCCGAGGCGGACGCCTGGCCCCGTCGCAGCGTACCGGTTGCGATGGGATCCAGAACCCACCAACAATTTTGGGTCCTCATTTTACCCACCTCGGAAGGATGGAAGGCCGAGTCAACCTTGACCCTGTGAGATTTGAAGTGCCAAATTGCAGTCAGCAGAAGTAGCCTGCAGTACTGCACTCTAACCGCCACACCACTCATGTCTCATGTTAAAAAAGCCGCTCCCCACAAAAAAAGGTATTTTGCAGAAATAAACTAACTTACCGGCCTCAAATGCATGGCCATCTGGTCCAAAGGTTTTTCAGAAAGGGAAATTCTGCAGTTCTTTTCCTGCTGTATTCAAATGACACAAAAAATTAAATTAGAGTTCTCCCATTCCTATCACCGATTAGTTAGTTTGCAGCCTAACTTTTTTAAAAGCCCAATGCTTCTCTTTCCTGATGATCAACTGAATTTTCCACTTATGCTGATGTCAGCATAGCACCTGCAGGTACAATGACTGCCTCAAGGTTCACTAATAATTAAACTATTCCAACAGCCTTTGTAAAGAAAAAAACAGCCATTCTAAAAAGGTGAAGGAAACGGGCCACCTGTACAGTCCACTTAGTCTACATATAGAAATACTGCCTTTAAATGTGGAAGATTTATTTTAGTCACTACTACTAATTCTAAGGGCTCAGTGACTAAGACACTGAGCTTGTCGATCTGAAGGGCTACCTCGCTATTTGGAAAATTTAAATTTATCAGACTTGAACATTCTGATTCTACAAAAAACCACCCTACTTGGAAC